TTTATTGCACTAGATGCCTACATTTAAAAAACAAAAAGAGAACCCACCAACAAACTCATCAATCATCTTAAAGAAATGAAAAAGGAAGAGCAATCCAATCCCAAACCTAGCAGAAGGAAAGAAATAATCAAAATTAAATCAGAAATAAATGTAATTAAAAATGAAGGGATTATTCAGAAAATGAATGAAATAAAATGTTGGTTCTTTGAAAAGATAAAATTGATAAACCATTGGCCAGATTAACCAGAAATAGAAAACTAAAATCTTTAATAATCTCAATCAGAAATGAAAACAGGGAAATAACAACTGAAACAACAGAGATACAAGTGATTATTTCTGACCACTACCAAAAACTTTATGCCCAGAAATGTGACAATGTGGAGGAAATGGAACAATATCTGGAATCACACCATCGTCCTAAACTTAACCAGGAAGAAATAGATTTCTTGAACAGATGAAGAAATAGATTTCTTGAACAGATGAATATCAAGCACTGAGACTGCAGAAACAATAAAATAGCTTCAACAAAAAAGCCCAGGACCAGATGGCTTCACATCTGAATTCTATCACACCTTCAAAGATGAGCTTGTACCTGTACTGTAGAACCTGTTCTAAGACACTGAAAAGGAAGGAGGCTTCCCAACACGTTCTATGAAGCAAATACTGTCTTGATTTCAAAACTAGGAAAGGACCCAACTAAAAGGGAGAACTATAGACCCGTTTCACTAATGAATATCAGTGTAAAAATTCTCAACAAAATCTTAGCTAATAGATTGCAGCTACCCATTAAAAAACTTGTACATGACCAAGTAGGCTTCATCCAAGGGATATAACGTTGGATTAATATATGCAAATCCATAAATGTAATGCATCATATCAATAGAAGCAAAAACAAAGAATATATAATCCCTCAATAGATGCAGAAAAGCATTTGTCAAAATTTAGTATCCTTTTATAACAAGAACACTTAAGAATATAGGTGTAGGTGGCACATTTCTTAAGCTTTTTGAAGCAATCTATGATAAACCCACAGCTAACATCATACTGAATGGTTTAAAACTGAAGGTTTTTTTTTCACTTAGAACTGGAACCAACAAGGATGTCTATTATAGTACTCACTTTTATTCAACGTAGTTCTGGAAGTTCTAGCCAATGCAATCAGACAAGAGAAGGATATAAAGGGCTCCAAATGGGGCAGAGAAGATCAAACTGTCCCTCCTTGCTGATAACATGATCTTATACTTAGAAAACCCCAGAGACTCAACCACAGAACTCCTGGAAGTCAGCAGCAGGCAATACAGTAATGTCTCAGGGTATGAAATCAATGTCCACAAAGCAGTAACTTTTGTATACACCAATAGCACCCAAGTTTAGAAGAAAATTAAGGTCACGATTCCCTTCACAGTAGCTTAAAAGAAAATGAAAAACTTAGGAATATAACTAACAAAATAAGTGAAAGATCTTTTTGAAGAGAATAACTAAATCCTAAGGAAAGAAATTGTAGAAGACATTAATAAATGGAAGAACATACTATGCTCTTGACTTGGAATAATAAACATAATCAAAATATCTATTCTACCCAAAGCAATCTACAGATTCAATGTAATCTCCATTGAAATACCAACATCATATTTTGAAGAAGTGGAAAAAAGAGTCCTTCATTTTGTATGGAAGCAGAAAAAAACTCATATAGCTAAGGCTATTCTTAGTAATAAAAACAAAGTCAGAGGCATCACCCTACCAGACTTCAGGTTATATTACAAGTCCACAGTAATCAAAACAGTATGGTATTGGCAAAAAAACCAGAAACATAGACATATGGAACAGAATAGAAAACCAAAAGGAAACCAGTCTCTACTTGCCATCTGATCTCTGAGAAACCAAAGAAAAGCATACAGTGGAGAAAGGAATCCCTATTCAACAAATGGTGCTGGAAAAACTGGATAACTGCATGTAACAGACTGAAACTCAACCCACGCCTTTCACCACTTATAAAAATTAACTTAAGATGGACAAGAGACTTAAATCTAAGACATGAAATAATAAAAATCTTACAGAGACTTCAGTGGCCATTTCAACAACAACAAATATTAACAAACGAGACTTAATTAAGCTGAAAAGCTTCTACATAGCTAAGGACACAACAAGGAAAGCAAAAAGCCAACTTTCAGAATGGGAAAAGATATTGGGTATCAAACTGACAAAGGGTTGATAGCTAAAATATCCAAAGTACTCAAATTAATAAACCAAAAAGAGTAAACAATTCCCTGTACCTCTGGGCAAGAGATATGAGCAGAACCTTCTCTGACAGATAGACAAAAGTCTTACAAACATTTGAAAAAATGTTCATTGTTCCTGATCATCAGTGAAATGCAAATCAAAACCACCTTGAGACATTACCTAACCCCAATGAGAATAGTGCACATCACAAAATCTGAAAGCTGCAGATGCTGACATTGACATAGAGAGAAAGGAACGCTTTTAAACTGTTGGGGGGACTGCAAACTAATACCACCTTTTTGGAAGGAAGTACGGAGTATCCTCAAAAAACTCAAATTAGACCTCCCATTTGATCCTGCAATCCTATTGTTTGCCATCTACCCAGAAGAAAAAATCTCATTTTATCATAAGGACATTTTCACTAGACTGTTTACCTCAGCTCAATTTATAAATGTCAAAATGTGGAAACAACCTAAATGCCCACCAATGCAGGA